ATGAGAAAACTGAGATATTGGCATCAACAGCCAACAATAGAGCCAGAAACATTGGCCACCAATTCACGGTTGATAACTCTACCTTTGAAGTGGTGGACAAATTCACATACTTAGGCTCCCTGATCATCAAAGAGAACTTTGTAATGAAAGAAATCAAGCGAAGAATAATCCTAGCAAACAAAAATGCTATTTTGGATTGAGTAGACATAGAGAAGCAGAAACTTAAGCCAAAAAACAAAAATAACGACATACAAAACCCTTATACAATCAGTGTTCACATATAGATCGGTGACATGGACCATTTCCAAGGCAGATGAAAACCTCTTCCCTTTCCTTTCCCTCCTTTCTCTTATGCTTTCATCTATTCTATGTACATACTTAACTTGCTCGCGGTCATCCTCGTTTTTTCTTACCTACTAGTTTCCGTTCCATAACTTGTCCTGGTATTCTTGTATCTTTCAATTATTATATGAATCTGAACAGTGTCAGTTTTTTATCCATTATATGATCTATTATTCTGTGCTTTATTTTTATAATTTCTGTTTTTCTGACGTTAGTCAGTTTTTCTTCAATTATTAACCATTCAATTGTTGACTTAATTCATTATGTGCTGTCTATTTTTTAATTGTTTAATGCCATTAGCAGTATTTATTGTTATATTCATTATTTCATCGCAGAACTTTTTTTTTATATCTCTACTCTGAAGTGTCCTTTCTAATTAGTGTATTGATTTACATTTCTCATTTGTCTTTTGCATTTGCTCCTTTTATTTTCACCTTACTCACCTTATGTAAATTTTTCTATTTTACTGTGTTGCTATTTTTATGTTTTCTTCCTGTCATTCTGTCATCCCGTTCAAATATAATATCACACTTCTTTTATATTTTTATTTATGATAAACAATGTTTTGATTGATTTGAGCACTGAATATTTGTCCTGCTAAGATCTTTTATTAAAGCTACAATAATCAGCTAACTTTTTAAAATACCTAATAAGGCTTCTCATGATTTTTAAAAGCGTTTTTAAAGATCATCCTTAAGCATGAAGTGAGTTAGCAATTCTGGCGAAGGTTTAAGTTAAGGTTTTGGTTTAAGAGGGGTTAAAAATCATTCGATTCTTCCCGCTAGAGCAACGGGGCGTAGTTTAAACCTACACCTATTATAATTGACTTGAACGATTCAATAAAAGACACGCGTCCATCTATTCATACTAAAAAATAATCACATTTACATTTCCGTAACAAGTCATCGCTCAAAATGTCCATGTCGCGAAAATTGGCACCAGTATCTTCTTATTTTACCTGAAATTATAAGAAAATGTTAGTTTTTTACGAATATACAGCTAATACTGATAAAAAGACGAATATAAAAAAAATAAGGGACAGTATACCGGTCACTAGAGATTTGGAAAACAAAAATATCGATGAAATAAATCAGCTATTAACCGATACATTAGCAAAGGCGGGAAAAGAGGTAGCACAAACAAGAACAAAAAAGGAAAACTATGTATCCCAGGAAACAAAAAATCTCATGAGTAAAAGAAAACCATTACTGGAACAAGATAAGAGAAACAGAGTAGATTACAAAGAGGTAAACAAAGCTATCAGAAGGAATATCAAGGAATATAAAAGGAGCGTACAGGAAGAAAAAATAGAAGAAGCAATTAAACAAAATAAAAACATGAAGTGCTTAAAACCACAGCTTCTTCTTCTTCTCGTGCCACTCCTAGCGGAGATTGGAAATCATCATGGCCACTGCGACTTTGTTAGCAGCGCGCGTTCAATCGAACTACACCCGAACCATTCACGTAGATTACGGAGCCACGATATTTTTCTTCTTCCCACACTTCTTTTGCCCTTAATTTTGCCCTGCATGATGTTTCTTAAAAGTTCGTACTTTTCACCTCTCACAATGTGCCCCAAGTATTCCATCTTTCTAGTTTTTATCTCATTTAGAATTTCGCATCTTTTGTCTAAAGTTTGGAGTACTTGCGTGTTAGTGACGCGGTCCATCCATGAAATTCTGAGAATGCGCCTATAGCACCACATCTCGAAAGCTTCGATGTTTTTTATGGTCAACTGTTTTAGTGTCCAAGCCTCAACTCCATATAACAGGGTAGAAAAGACATAACTCCGCAGCATTCGTATTCGTAACTTTATATTGATATCACGATTGCAAAAGAGTTTGCGCATTCTATTAAAGACTGATCTAGCGATTTCTATTCTACATCTAATCTCTTTTGTTTGATCAGTATCGTCTGTGATCCAAGCACCTAGATATTTATAACAGGGCACACGCTCAATCGTTGTATTGTCTATTACAAGATTAGCTCTGATGTTCTTTGATTTCGTGATTACCATAAATTTAGTTTTTTTCAAATTAATTTTCAAGCCGTAACTGTTACAGTATATATTGAGACTTTGAACGAGATATTGTAGTTCTACTAGCGTTCTCGTTAGGAGAACTGTACGTCAGCATACCTTATATTGTTGATCGTCTCACTATTTATTATCAGACCAAGATCTTCCTCCTCGAGTGCTTGTTCACAGATAGCTTCACTATACAGATTAAATAAAAGTGGCGATAAGATACATCCCTGCCGGACTCCTTGACGGATTTGAATTTCTTCTGTTAGTCTTAACCACAGCTTGGAACCATACAAATTAATGGTATAAAGAACAAAGAAGGTACAGAGACCAATAATATAGAAAAAATCATACAGATAACACAAGAATATTATAAAAACCTCTACAATACAAAACAGAAACCAACCCAAGAAATCCTTAAGCAACTACAAATAAAAATAAAAAATGTTAATTCCGACTTACAACCAGAAATCAGTAAAAACGAGATAAGAAGAGCACTCAAAGAGATAAAGAATAATAAATCGCCAGGAAAAGACGAGGTGACTATAGAAATGCTAAAACATGGTGGGAAAAGAACTAAAGAAGTTTTGTACATACTTATGAATAAAATACTAATGACAAAACAAATACCCAAAAGTTGGAATGAAGCAATAACACTGTTACTATTTAAGAAAGGAAATAAAAAGAATCTAAAGAATTACAGACCCACAACTTTACTAAATGTGATGTACAAACTATTAACCAAAATATTAACAAATAGATTAACAACTAAATTAGATGGATACCAGACAAGAGAACAAGCTGGATTTAGAAAGAGCTTCAGTACAGGTGACTACCTTTTAACGATGAAGATTTTAATCGAAAAAACTAATAAATATCATACTCCGCTATACATGGCATTTATTGACTTCGAGAAGGCATTTGATAGTGTGAAACACTGGGCAGTACAGAATTCCCTACAAAACAGCAGAATAGACTACCGATATACCGACTTAATTACAAATATATACAACAAAGCAACAACAACTATTAAGCTAATGAAATAAACGGAGCCTATTAAAATAAACCGAGGAGTAAGACAAGGAGATACCATCTCGCCCAAACTATTCAACCAAGCGCTAGAAGATGTTTTCAAACGACTACACTGGGATGGCGTGGGAATTAACATAAACGGGCAAAATCTGAATCATTTACGATATGCTGATGATATTGTGTTAATAACAGAAAAAAGTGAAGAATTACTAAGAATGATGAAAGAACTAGATAGAGAATCGACAAAAATTGGACTCAAGATGAATTACAATAAAACAAAAACCATGACTAATCAACCAGAAGAACTAATAATTACAGTGGCACAAACAAGAATAGAACAAGTAAAAGAGTATATATATCTAGGCCAAATCACTAAATTGAATAAAGAAAATCAGACCGAAGAAATAAAAAGAAGAACAAGATTGGCCTGGGCATCATTCGGAAAACTGTCTTATATTCTAAAGAATTCAAAATACCCCCCAATGCCTAAAAACGAGAGTCTTCAATCAATGTATACTCCCTGTCCTCACATATGGCTCTCAGACATGGACGTTTACAAAGGAAAATATTGAAAAAATAGCAAAGACAGAAAGATCCATGGAAAGACAAATACTGAACATTAAACTATCAGACAGAAAAAGAAACGAATGGATCCGTAATAAAACAAAAGTGAAAGATGTCTCAACCCAAGTAGCAAAGCTTAAATGGAAGTTCGCCGGACACACCCTAAGGCAGAAAGATGAAAGATGCACTAAGACAATTATACATTGGAGACCATGGAATCACAAACGAAAAAGGGGAAGGCCATAAATGCGATGGTCAGATGATCTGAAGAAAGACGCTGGGTCAAAATGGATGCAAATTGCCCAAGATAGAGAAGCATGGAAGAAGGAGGAGGAGGCCTATATCCAAGGATGGATGTTTAGGGCTGTATAGATAGATAGAATGATAAAATGACTAATTGACAACGGCGTATGAAGCTTTTCTTTAATAAGAATTTACGAAAATGTTAAACATCATGTTAATTCGTTTTTCTTTATTTTATAATTTTATAATCAACTTTTGAATTTATTATATTTCTTTTTATAATCAGCTTATCGTATACTAAGTGAATTAATTTTTCCCCTGTTGGAAAATTTGATCACTGTTATTGCGTTATTTTAGCTTTAATGTAGTTAGTAGACAACTCACCACACTGCCTCTCATCCTTAACAGGGTGAGAAGTTTTACCCATTATTACGATAATTGGACGATCTCAAGTAGGGAAATGGAGGGGGTGAATTTTTAAAGGTAACAAACTGTTTATCGTGATTTTTAGCAAGACTACAAGTCCTACGGGAAAACATCTATAGTCCTCTCATATATTTTAACGAAAAAAGTTGTCATAACATAACCCTATTTTTCTATCAACTCTAGTTTTCGGTATACCTTGCAAAACATACTAATTGCACAGTGTACAGCATTTTCGAATTTTAAAAATAATTAATTTATATTTTTAAATTAAATACCAGAAATTATACGTACCTATAAAATATTCATAGTCTCTCACAGCAATGCCCGTAATAGGAAAGTTTGCGTGTAGGGCGGGAAAGCATCGGAGTAGTCAGTCATCGTCCATTCCGATGAGCTCGGCTTGAAGGCGGCCCTTATATCTGCAGCAGATAGTCATGCAAAAGATTCTAAGGGCCAGCCTGAACTGCGGACTCATGGTGATCAGGATCACAGATTTCCAGAATGAGTTGAGAAAACCCAACCATACGATACCGAAGTGGAGGACCTATAACATACAGTTTTTATAACGAAATATAAATTTATAAACGAAGACTTAAATTGTTTTTTTTATAATTTTATTATAGTTTTAGTAAATTAATATAAATGAAAATAGAATTTTTAATTTGAGTGTAGAGTTGTGTTATATAGAAGATGGTTCTTGACAACTGGTCCTCATAAGACAACTAACTCTCACTTATGGCTCCACGTGCCACACCCCGGGTAACTGCATTGGTCTGCAGGCTAAACTAAGTGAGGGTAGCAGGATATGGCAAAAATTCAACCGAGCGATTGCCGGTATAAACAATCCCCCACTTACCGGCCAACGGCTTCGGGCGGATAAGTTGGTAGGTGGTAGAGCACTTTTTTGTCCTGTGGTTAAGAAATTGACCTCAAAGGCGGATGAACCTATATATGGTCAACGGCGTAAGGATGTAGAAGGCAACGAGAAACCACTACATTAAAGATCGTCAGATTTCCCTAGACTAACGACCATGCAAAGCACAACCACACAATTGGCCCCCTGTTCGTGGCAGAACTTAGATGGTAGATGAACCCGAAATGATAGAAAATAAACAAATCATATAAATTAGAACCCGAAATATCAACAGTATGTTTGAAGCCGACAAAATCCACAACACCATCCAAGAAATGAATAGACTTGACATTAGTATTCATAGCATTAGTGAGATGAGGTGGCCTAATTCAGAAACGATAAAAATTGACAACAAGACAATATACTACTCAGGTAACAATCAAAGACAGCATTTGAATGCAGTTAGTATCATCGTAGGCGAAGGTATAGAAAAATGCATTAAACACGTGGTCTACCACTCGGATCGTATGCTACTTCTACAATTACATGGAAGTTCAATCGATATCAATATCATACAGGTATATGCTCCAACAACTGATAAACCCGACACTGAAATTGAAGAGTTCTACGGAGACCTACAAGGACTAATGCAGCTTACAAAAAAGCATGAAAGATCGATAAAAATGTGAGACCTCAATGCAAAAGTAGAAAAAGATAGATCTGAGAATATCATTGGAGAACATGGATTAGGTCAGCGAAATGAAAGAGGCGATAGGCTGTTTCAATTTTGCCAAGAACAGAATATTACTATTATGAATACATGGTTCAAATTACCTGCGCGCAAACTATACACATGGAAATCGACACAAGACAATGATAAAAATTGCATCAGAAGCCAAATAGATTATATCATAATCAACCAGAGATACCGAAATAGCATACAAAGCGCAAAAACTTACTTCGGTGCAGATGTCACTTTCGACGACACTTTGCTCGTCGCCAAATTCAAAAACACGCTGAAAAGCATAAAAAGAAAGAAAAGAGAACAGAAATCAGAAATGAGCTTACTCAAGGATATAAAAACGAGACAGAAGATATCACAAGAACTTAACCACGAATGTCGAGAACTTAAAAACAGACATAAGGAAAATGATGTACCAGAAGAATCCGACGACTTAAACCAAATATCGAAAGAACTTAAGACTGTATGTCTAAACTAAAAGCTGAAGACCACCTTAAATACACGAATCAAAGAGGCAAGAAACTAAGGATAACTAATGAAATATTAGAAATGATGAATGTGAGACGACAGCACAAGAACGAAGACTGGAATAAATATAAAGAAATACAAAGACTAATAAGAAAAAACATAGTGGAAGCAAAAACACAGTGGCTTGTAGAAACTTGCGAAGAGATAGAAGACCTACAGAATAAACATGATGATAGACTTCTCCATAAGAAAATTAAAGAAATGTGTGGAATCAGAAACGATAGGCAGTGTGGCACAATAACAAGTACGGATGATAGAGTACTGACCACAAAAGAAGAAATAAGCGTTGAATGGCGAACATGCATACAAAATCTATTCTCAGACGATAAAACAATAAATATTGATAGACAAACGGAAATAACGACTTGCCCATCTTAAAATCAGAAATAAAATACGCCTTAAAAAATATGAAAACCGAAAAGCCTCTGGACCTGACGACGTTCACAGTGAAATTATACAACTTATGGAAGAAGATAATTTAAAACTATTATCAAGACTCTTCAACAGTATATACAAGACCGGTACAATTTCATAAGATTTATTATTCAACTTGTACTCAGAGGACTTTGCACATGCTCTAGATGAAGCACAAGAAAGAATAAAAGTCAATGGAAAAATCGTGAACAATATCAGGTATGCCTATGATACAGTACTGATTGCTGTCAGTGAAGAAGAACTACAAATTCTGTTAACCAAAGTAGTGCGAGAAGGAGAACTATATGCCCTTAAGGTGAATGTAAAAAAACCAAAACAATGGTAATTTCAAAAGACACACACCAGTTATAAACACACTAGTCAACAACAATCTAGTTGAACAAGTGAAAAAGTTTAAGTATCTAGGCTGTTGGATACATGAAAGCTTAGACCAAGAACAAGAGGTTAAATGTAGAATAGAACAGGCAAGAAACATCTTAAAGATGAGACTTATTACCCGTAATCTTGATTTGTCGCTACGATACCGCATGATAAAGTGTTGTATATGTATATACAAACTATTACACGGCGTGGAAGCTTGGACGTTAACAGTCAGCTCGTTACGACGTTTAGAGAGCTTTGAGATGTGGGTATTTCGTCGTATGCTAAAAATTTCATGGACCGGCCGCATTAGAAATGAAGAAGTTTTAAGGCGTATAAATAGAGAACGTACACTCACAGAAATTGTCAAGAAGCGTAAAACGTCTTATCTTGGAACAATATTTAGACACGATAGGTATAACTTCCTTCAGATTATTATAGAAAAGAAAATAGAAAGCAGACTTTCAACGTTTAATAAGGAAAGCTCAAAATAGGGAAGACTTTGCAGAGGTCATCGGCAATTTTCGCTAAGAAGACGGCACTCAAAGAAGAAGAACACAAGTCTGCAAACGATACTGCTGCTACCCCATTCTGTTGGTCGAGTGTTGAACTATTGAAATAGCGCAGAGCAGAAGTTTTATTCAATGAAAAATAATCGGTAAAAGTTATTATCACGGCGAATTAAAAAAGCAAATACTAGTAAAAAACATTAGACAATTAACTTTGGTACTCCAAATAGCGTTAACAGTTTAATTGGCCTAGGATGATTTGAAGAAATCTGAGTAATTATTACCTGTTGATTTTCCAACGGAGAAGTAAAATACTCGTACAGTTTTAGTCCAATATACGGAATCCACGACAGCCAAAACGTCACCACCAAAGTGAACGACATCAAGTGGCTGGGATTCGACAAATTCTCCGACAGTGCTGTAGCGTACTCCTTATCGTGGAAAGGATAACCGCTTCTAATTTTACGCAGCATGCTGAAGATGTAGGTGTAGGTATAGATAATCGTGATCACGCTTGGGCCTAAAATGAGGATAGAGAGGGTTATGCTATAGGCAGCCATGCTGCCCCATTCGAGCATGCAGATGTAGGCATCTGGGTCGAACGAGGACTTCGTAAAACCGAGTAGGGGAGGACAGCACAGCATTGCGGCAGATATCCAGGTAAAGACCATCCAACATTGGCACCTAGAAACATTAAACGCAATTGCCAATAAGAATATTGCCTATAAATGTATCTATAAAGTAAATGTATAAAAGTGACCGAAAATCGTTAAAAATGGCAAAAATCGCTCAACGTTTATTTATTTAACACTTTTATAAAAATTGACTTTAATTGCACTAAAATAAAAAAATCGCTTAAAAAAACTGCGTTCTTCACCTTTGAAATAATTTTTAATTTTTGTCCATAGGACACTCTGATAAAGTTATATTTTTGAGCAAATGGTTTTACACAAAAAGTGCTAATGAATAATTTTGTTAAAAATTATATCATCTACATTTTTTATTTAAAATATTTTTTTCTACAATACACAGATTCTTGGTCAATCGATTTTTTCCATTTTTTCCATACGAGAGAGAGAGAGAGAGTTGTTTTATAAGAAAGCCGGGGGATAGGAATAGTAAACTTTCTTGCATATTTTTGTGTTCCCTTTGGTGAGAATTAACATTCTCACCAAAGGAATAACTTGCTTAAAAAACTTACTCTCACCATAAAAAGAATCTAAAATTTAGATTCTTCTTATGATTTTTAAAGGTTTACTGACATTTTCATCTCTGACGACTGGAATAGAAATGAATTTATTTATAACAAAACTAAAGCATCTCTGGCGTTTAAAGAGTGGAAGTTTCAAAGGTGTTACGTGCCAAAACTTTTGATTTTGAGCAATTGCCATAGAACGGTTGTATGTGCCACGTTCTACTTACATCATACAAATGCGCTAGGTGCCATTCGTAATACTAAACTTTGTGTAGGGACTGTAAGATGGCGCCAGAGGTATATGCCTTGTCTGTTGCTTTACAAAGAGATTGTCAAATATATTGTTATTACTTTTGTAGGGAATGGTACTGGTATAGTGCGCGCAAGCACTCTTGACCATGGAGCTGCGCGAAGGCGGAGTCAAATTCACGTTAAGGCAGAAAGGTTCTATTGTAAATGGAATTATACAGTGCATAGTATAATGCGTTTCACACGGAAGTGGTGACTAAACCAAATTTCATCTACTGCGCCGTGGTCAAGAGTGCTTGCACGCACTCTAGCTTTGGCAAGGAACAAACAAAACTTAGAGAGGCCGGAAAAGCATATACAGTAGACTCCCTCTTAACCGGTCCTGCATTAACCGACCACTCCCCCTTTCTATTGTTTTGAGTACGAGACGATCATTAACCGGCGCTTGATGATCGTCTATCGCCCCCGGTTGTCAGTTTGTTTTTGCTTTCGAGCAGGATTGAATTCGTTTTGTGCAAAAATGAGCGAGAAGCTTAAACGTGTGGTTGTGACGATGGAAAAACGTCTAAGTATGCTTAAACGGATCGACAAAGGTGAATCGGTAAAGAAAATTTGTTCAGAGTTGAATGTGGGAAAAAGGACAATGAATGACTGGCGAAGTGATCGGCGATCAATCGAGGATTTTTGCGCCCAAATGGAATCAGATAAAAGTCTAAAAACTAGATGCACTAAAAAAAACGAAATTCGAGATAGTAAATGAAGCTCTTTGTTTGTGATTCCTTCAAGAACAGTGTAGGGGCACACCTATTAGCGGCGCGATTCTAAGGGCAAAGGCTTTATGTATACACAGCAAAATTATAGACGGAGACAAATTTATTGCAAGTGAAGGTTAGCTGATTCGCTGAAAGGCACGTCACGGAGTTAATTTGTAGCGTTTTAATATAAAACGCTACAAATTATGCACACGTAAGTGAAAAAAATGTCCGCGGACGCTTCAGGTGCAACTAATTTTACCCCCAAGTTTATAGAAATTATAAAAATTGAAAAATTAAAACCCGAAGAAGTATATAATATCAATGAGACGGGTTTCAATTTTAAAATGCTTCCAGAAAAAACATTTTTGGGAAGTCATGAAAAATCAGCTTCTGGATTTAAAAAGAATAAAGAGCGCATTACTGTTCAAATTCAGCAGGTACACACAAAATTTCTCTTTTTGTTGTTGATAATAGATAATAATTGACAATATAGTCCTTTTCCATCATATTGATAGCACATTATGTATGCATATCCTCAACAGGTCAAAAAACCATAGGCGTCACCCTATACTTGTTTTGAAATAAATAAAAAAAATTAATATTTTAAGGTGCCGTTAACAATTCATTACCTTTTAAAAAATCCTCTGTAAAATAAGTGTCCACTAATCTCACTATACCCTTTTTGAGCGTAAAAAACGTCGGTATATATGCCACACGATTATTGTTAATTATACAGCGGTGACTAACGAGAGAATTCAATGTTTCACGAAATAAATTAATGTAACCATTAATTTAAAAGTGATTATTGTTTTCTATACAAGTTATCGCCTGACACAAAAAGAATACCTTCTGTGAACGATTACCTGGAACTACTGATAAGGCTTCACTAATGATAGTTTTAGTAGTTTTTATGCCACATTACAGCTTATGCCTATAATGTAAATTAGAAATTGTTTGCATCTTCGATTTAGTTTGTAGATGTACATTGTTCATGTCTTACCTATCGACGTTTTTGGTGTCGATATTTTGTTATTTGCATTTAAAAATGACGCCGACTACAGGTTTTATCCCAGTTAAGTGTAGTTTTAAAGGTGCCTTTAGTCTAAGAGAGAAAAATATAATATCAAATGTACAGGATGCACTTGTACATCAAAGCCCTTTAAGTAATGTTCGTGAAATCGTTAACATGTGTTTAAATATGACAGAGGTTGGAGAAGCAACAATTTATAGATTCCTAAAAGAAAAGGAGGAACTGTTTCATCTCCCAAAAAGAGTGGAGGGAGTAAACCCTTGGAAATTGAAGAAATACATAAAAACATGATAAGCCCACTCATTTTTTTTAACAAAGAATTTCCAACATTAGACAAAACCCAAACATTAATTAGAGAAAACGAAGAGTTACCAATCATAAGCAACAAGAAATTATGGGGACTATTGAGGGAGATCAGATTACGTTGGCAAAAGAATAGAAGAAAATCCGTTTTAATTGAAAAAGATTACATTGTATGTTGGAGACGAGATTATCTAAGAACTATTAAAAAGTACCGAGAAGAAGGGAAAACAATTTTTTATTTGGACGAGACTTGCCTAAATGAAGGTCATACTGTACCATATCTATGGGTTGATACAAATGTGAAAAGTTCCTGTCAGACATTCATCGAAGGTGTATCTACTAGAATAAACAATATTACCGTTGGAAAAGGACGCAGACTTATAATAACCCATATTGGAAACAAATACGGTTTTGTCAATGGTGAATTCTTAAGTTTTGCCTCAAAATCAATCAAAGATTACCACGAGGAAATGACTGCTGACGTTTTTGAAGAATATTTTGAGCAAATTTTGGATTTAATTCCAAAAAATTCTATCATAGTTATGGATAATGCTAGTTACCATTCAAGACTAGCAGAAAAATTGCCAACAACGGCATGGAAAAAAGGAGAGATAATCGAATGGTTGGATAAACACGTAGTTGAGTACAAGGAAAATTCGACAAAAAAGGAATTATTGTAAGGCAACATAAAGCAGCTTATAAAAAATATATAATTGATGAAATGGCATTAAACCGTGATGTAATTATTTTACGTTTACCTCCATACCACTGTGATCTGACTCCGATAGAAAATATGTGGTCTCAAGTAAAGGGTGAAGTCGGACGCAACAACAAAACTTTTAAAAGAGAAGACTTACAACAATTATTAGAACATTCCTTATCAAAAGTAACTCCAGAAAATTGGAAAAATGCTGTTAGTCATGCTTACAAGAAAGAAAATAAATTGTGGAATTTGCTTAATATGACTGATGCAATGCTGGAACCGGTAATAATTAACATTGGAGTTAAATATTCCTTAGATTCTGAAGAAAGCAGTGAATCTGAAATGGAATTTGATTAAAATAATATTTATTTCTTTATAAATCGGCCTCTGTTACGGCCACAAATTATTTTATATATAACCAATAAAATAGACATCTTACATTTCTTGCAAATTTATTAGTACCTGTTAATCTCCATCACTCCGACACTGGCAACTTTATTTAGGGATTAGTAACCCTCAAAACTATTGTATTCTATTCTGCTTCAACCTTTATACCTGGTGGTCATACTCAATTTAAAATTGTTTTCCTATATACTTGTAAACTTGTTGACAAATATCTATTTTTCATTGAGTCACCCGTATCAACAGTTCAGGGATTTGCATGCATAATGTGCTATCAATATGATGGAAATGGACTATAGATATAGAGAGCAAAAAAAAATTGTAAATTTGTAGACAAATTTTATTGTACAAAATGAATAAAAAATATAAATGATAATATCAGTTTCAATAGTATAATAAAAAAATATAGTTTTCATATTTCTTTGTTTACTTGATGGGTATCAAACATGACAAGGAAATTTTTTTTTGGCATAAAGTACATTGCCATCTAGTTCTAGTTGCTTGACTCTGTCCTACATACCTGCCTAAAATAATCTTGATTTTAGAGGAGCACTCTACGCAACGACCTCTACTAGCTTTTTCTAGCTTATGTCGATTTTCGTATTGGTGTTTTGTTGGATGATCATTGCCTTTTTTTAAACCTAGGAGACCTAAAGCAAGATTCTCTCGAAATTCGGTTATCTGCATTTTATCTTTTGCAATTTCTTTATATAATATATAAAACTTTACCAAGCGTGTTCCAAAAATTACTTCCACTGCTAACTTTTTATACTATTTGGTTCCTCTTCTAAAAGAATAAGGGTATACGTTTAGTTGATCTGAAAGATCAATATCAGCTTTTGAGTTGTTGAAGTCAAAAATTTCTTTTGGTTTTTCAATATCTAGACTCGTTCGATAACACCAATAACTTCATCTGTATGTTTAGTCGTCAAAACCAGTATATTTCTGGTATCTCCCCATTTCAACGTAACTATTCCATTATTGCTCTCTTGAGCAAATACTTCATGTTTTTAGGTTTTTTTTTTGTAACAACGACTTTTGAATTGAATTTTCTGTTAGATCACACAGTCCGCACTAAATGGGTTTGTCTTTCTAATAGAGAAGTTGCCAGAGAAACGATCGTATAGTAATTATCAGTATATTTTTCCTTTATCAAAAATATTCTCCATCAAATTTAAAACAACGTTTGCTGAAGCGTTGCTACTAGCATTAGCGTCTCCGCAATATACATAATATAATTTGTACAGCTTTATACCAAACTTGTTGTTCTTATTTTGTATGTACTGTCTAAATTTTAGACGACTTTGATTGGAACTAGGGTTTGGTCGGTACATATATCAGATTTAGAGGCAACAAATGATTAAAACTTCCCTTTTAACTTCTTTATTTAACTTCTTTAAGTCTTCATTATTATTGAAATGCCACATTCTTGGCAGTTGTTCAAATCGATCTCTAGATACCACTTTTTTACTTAATTAGAATAGAAAGTGTTAGTACTCCATTATGCGAGGCAGTTTCATATTCCCATCCACAAAATTATTCCGAAAATTGTTTTCATTTCTTCAGCATTTGTTGGCAAACAAGTTTTTATATGACCTTTCGGTTTATTTTTGTTTCTCAAAGTTTGTTCAGCATTAAAGTTTGTTTGATTCACCATGTACTCAATAATGTCATCGGTGATAAATAACATAAAGAAATCAATGTTTCAGTTTTCAAATCAGATTTGATCCCAAAGTTCACTTCAGAAAAATGAAACGTTTTCAGCGAACTGCCGTCAACAGATTTCCAAATTATGTTATGATTTTGTATTTCGCCTTCCTCGCCTATTTCAAAAGAATATTGGGAAATTATGTCTTCAATTACTTCATCAATCTAAAACGTAATTTTCTGTCAGTAACGGGATAAATAACTTATGAAACATTGTTCACACACTGTCCCAAACATATGTGCTTCGCTGCTATACCTTGAATTTGATGCTTCAATTGAAACATATTCCTTTTTTCGTGATTTTCGAGGAACTTCATCACTCGTTGAAGATGATACTTCACCATTTGTTCATATTCATCAGATAAATCTATATCATTGAATTATTATTGGCTAATTGGAGCTGTTTTTTTTATAATCACCCATTGTAACGTTTAAACATGCACTTAGAACGAATATCTTGAATAAACTGATTACAAATCACACAAAACTGCCTGTAATTCACGCAAATATATACCTGTCGAGACTTGCAGAACGTGACGTCCCATTGAAGTCCCACTGGCCTGGTAACCAGATACTTTCCTCGGGCCCGCGTGGCATGCAAGTTATGTCTCAAATGAAAATGCCAAAAAAATTAAAAAGCAGTGTAATATTTTAATGAATAATATTTGCAATGCAAAATATGTAAACGTATAGTTAAAAAAACCAGTTTAAAATATCCCGGCTCAAAGTCCTTTTATTTGATATGTACACCCGCGTTCAACGTGTTAAAGAATTACTGTTTATTTTATATTATATTATATAAATAATAATATAATATGAATAAAAGTATTGCTTGATAAATTTATGATTTTAGTATTATTATAACAAAGCTTCAGAATTTTTTGTAATCAATAAATGGGTTGAATACTGACCTGGTTTTCGTTTGGAGCGTCTCGTACCGCAACGGTTTTCTGACCGCTAAATATCGATCTACACTAATCCACATAAAGGTGTACACAGTGACGGCCCAAAGGGTAACTTCGACGTAGCCTATTAGTCGGCAGATGACTTCCCCGTACACCCAGTCGTTCACTACCGCTGGATACACTGATAACGGTACAACTAGAAGGCCACATAGTAAATCAGCTACGGCTAAGGAAAGCAAGTAATAATTTATAACCTCTGAGGGTCCTGAAACAAAAAACAAAATATTTGTTTATTGTTGTGTATTTCATAACAAATTAGGTCAATATTTTGATATACTATTTAGATGCTTTGATCCATTTACGAGTAGTTTTAACATGTTTATTGGATTAGACATTCATAAAAATCGACAAATAAATTAAATGAAGTGGACCAGTAAAGTACCTAAAAAGAAACACCCACTCCTTTCTTTGTAATTAAAATAAATTTCATTTACCGCGTTGATTAGGGCGCCCGTGGGTATCAAACCCACGATATGACCTGTATAGACTTGGGTACTCTCGGCAATACATACCAAATAAAACGCTCATATTTCAGTGACGGAGGTGCACAAAAAAACCGATGACTTAAATTAGGTAAACAAGCAAATAATCTTATCCGTCTCTCTTATCCGTCGTATAAGACTGACTTGGGCAGCCTTCGGCAAGCTGAACCATATTTTCAAATCGTCTGATATACCAATATGTCTTAAAAGAAAAACCTTTAATCAGTGTGTTTTGCCAGTGTTGACTTACGGTGCGAAAACGTTGACCATGACAAGGAGAACAGTTCAATAGATTCGTGTGTGTCAAAGGGCGATGGAGCATGCTATGTTGGGCGTTTCACTACGAGACAAGATCCCAAATTGCCAGCTACGACAAAGAACAGGAGTGGCTGATGCAGTAGAGAGAAGCAACATTGAAATGGAACTGGGCAGCAGTGGATAAGCGAAGATTGAATGATGATGATGATTAACCTAAAGCTAAACAACAAAAAATTTCTATTGTAAACAATTAATTGTAAACAATCTGATATAACTTTAACCAAAACACAAATATTTAAGTTCATTTCAATTAGTTTTTTATTAGGTTTTTTTTTAAAACCGTGTGAAAAAACTGCATAAACTGAGAGAGAGTAAAGTGTCATTTTTCTCGATGTACAGAAAACCTTCAATCAAGGTTGGAATGCCAAATTGGTAAGAAAAATACTAAATATCGATTTGCCCATCTCTTTGTCAGACTAATCCATTCATCTACCTCTGAGCGCAAAATCACAGTAAATGTCAGAAGACAATTATCAACACCATTCATTCCTACAGCAGAAAAGCCACAATTTTCCGTCTTAGTGCCCATTTTAGACACAATGTACCACAGAATAGACTTTTCTAACCCCAGAAACACAAAGATATTCACACTACTTACGCAGACGTTATTACTCTCGTAACAACAGTACAAGATGCAGATATGTGGTGCGGAAGATGAAGAGTAACGTCTAATTCAAACAGAACACAACTCATACTCGCTAGCAACTACCGCACAAAAGCTTGCCGAAGGAAAGAATTGACCTGTGGCTGTGGGGCATCCGACTCCAATTGAGGGATTCGATCGAGTATCTAGGAGTGGTGCTTACCAAAACATTAAATTGAAGTCAAGATCTGATCACAACCCCTAACAGGGTCAGGCACAACTTCGGAGTCCAAAACATACTCAAAACTACCTGCTCATCTTCAGATAATGTATTTGTTAGATATCCTAAAAGAAAATTCTTATTCCTACCACAATACTGCTGACCTCTGCTGACCTAACAAATACATCGACACCCTGAAGGCAACACCTCTTTTTTATCATACTAGATAACAACTCGTTATCAACAGGTCCTCGAAGACACTTCGTCTCAGGACCATTTTACCTATGTAGGGTCATACGTCGCCATGTTACCAATTCCAACGGTAACTTAAACATCCTAATTTGTAATTATAAATAATGTAAAACAACTATAAATTTGTAATATTTAAAGGGTTTTGACCCATATATTTTGGTGGCTCATAGCATGTATACCTCGTTTACACTGATGATGGATTTAACAATCCGAAAACGTTCTGTAATGTAATTGTAATAGCCTGTTTGGGCATTTTATTATATACCTTTTATAAAGGATTTGAAATAAATTTTTTAAGTCCCAATTTGTTAACTAGTTCTTGATGGGAATCTTTCCTACTGAGTCATGGCGTTCTTTAAAATCAGTACCAACAAACGCCTGGCAGCCCCCAGTTAGATGTTGAATGGTTTTTTGGGCTTGGCATCCATATCGGCATTTGTCATTTTGGACTTGAGGATCTTTAACAATATATTTCAAGTAATTTTTAGTTGGTATAACCTGATCCTGAATGGCAAGTAGAGAACCCCCAGTCACGGGAAACATCTTTCCTGATGTCAAGTTATATTTCGACGCTGTATTGTCGACATATTCTTAGCTAATCTCAGTGATTGTGTCGCCCATGTAGAGGTTTACTCATTTAAGTGCGCGTTTTTTCTTGCAATGTCGGTAGTTTTAGCAACATTGTATAATTTACTGCGCAAATTGCTCGATGTAAAGTAGATGTCTCAGCCTTTCTCCTTGATATCGCGGTAATGTTGTTCTCTCTATTGCACTGCGTGGATGGTGTTTATGTACCTTTTTAAGAAGTGATTTTACTTTCCGCTGAAGATTCTCTATATCCGTTTTTGACCACTTTATAATACCAAATAAGTAGCTCAGCGCGGAATAGGCGTACGTATTTAATGCCTTAAATACATGTTTACTATTTAAGATATGCCCGATTTAGTTGTCTTACTTTTCGTACGAACCTCAAGGGTAGTTTGGTTTTCATTTGTTTATGGTCAATTTCCCGCGCTAAACAGAACCAAAGAGGACTCAAAGAGTCCTCCAAGAAAAAAGCCTTCTGGAAAAGGACTCATTTAATTATGATATTTTCAAGTTCGATGTTATTTTCACCGGGTATTTAGGTGATTTTTGTCTTTCAGTCTGTCATTATATGCTTTAAAAAGGTAAGTATATTATCATCGACTTTATATATTTTCAATTTTTCAATATTGAAGAATTCGTAGAACTATTTTAACATTTGTTTTCAATACAGCACAACAGTATATTAAATTAACTTATAAGGAAATAGTTTAGTTAATAAAAAAACATTTCTACACACTCGAAAAAATATTCTAATACGGCAACCATAGTAGTAAGTGGTTGAGTATCGAAAAGTACTTACTATAAACTTTAAAAATACTTTATGATGCGGGAATTGATAATTACAAGGTAGAAACGAATTTGTGGGAATTTATAACCAGCAGCGGGTGCTAGCCAAAGTTTTGGTATTAAAAATTTACAGCTAGAGACGGTCGATACTGAGCGAGAGAAAATAGGGAATGAGGCTGTTACATAAAGAACATATGTCACTTGTTTTAGTTACACTGAGTAACTGCAGAGTAAAACTCCGGAAACGTTGCAGTTTTATTAATGAGGATCAAGAAAAAGTTCTTTGTGACCTTTTAAATTATAAATAGGAAATATAAGAGGTGTGTGGAATATGAGCGAAGATAAATCAGATCTAATCCAACAGTAAGAAATTATCCTTGTAATAGATTTAACCTGAATAGCAATAAAAAAGTATGGGAAGATAGAAATACAGGGACAATCGATGAAATCTTTTCGAAAATGTATAAAAAAGGTGGCGATCACCTTTGTGCAGCAATCCATAAAGTAGTAGTACTTATATGACAGAATGAATTGGTACCAGAAGAGTGCCTAAAGGGAATAATATGTCCGTTGCATAAAAATGATGATCTACGTCTACTAAGTGTAAGGTCTATAGAGGCATTTGCGTATAAAATCTTCGGCAATGTATTTTTTGGAAGACTTAAACATTTTACAAAGGATATTGTTAGTCAATATCAATGCGGATTTACTACTAGAAATTCAACTACACATCAAATTTAAGCATATAGAGGCAGATTCTAGAAAAGTGACTAGAATATAACATAGATATTCACCATCTTTTCGTCTATGATAAGTCTCTAAGTCTATATAGCCTATGACAGTGTGAAAAGAACTGCATATAACACATATAAGTCTATAACGCAATAATAGACTTTGGGATCCCACCTAAGTTATTTAAGTTGACCCAACTAACAATGCAAAACATAAGCTCGTGAAAACGTAAAAGATACATAAACAATCGATAAATAACGTTGGATCTCACAAAGGGGCCAACATCGATTCGGACCATATGCTCATTCATTCAATTGAAAGAGAAAGAAGTACGAAAAATATTTGTACAATAAGTAAATACAGACATGCAGTTCAAAAAACAACAAATGGATAAACCATTTGTTGGATAAAAATCAAACAAGGAATAAACAATGTAGCAGGGAAAGTGGTTAGCAAAATACAAAGAAAAGTAGAAATAATTAGTTTGACGATGGGTGCAAATTAGTAGTGGAAGAAAAGAATAAAATAACATAACACAGAGAGACTAACAATATACATATACAGAACAAAGCATACGAGATTACCAGTACAGTTTTAGAAAAGGGAGGAAATCGAACTCACTTCCCCGGAACGTCGTTAATTATTTCGTCTTTAAATAGCTATGAATCGGCAATATTTCCGGGTATGGCAACATTACGTAAACTATTTTTGGACCAAAACCAAAATACCGACTGACTTAATTGATAAACAAATTCGCATCCTTAATTTGCCAACTGTCCACATTCCAAGTACCGACCGCGGCCCAACATGTATCTTCCCTTTTGCCTTCAAAGGGGTCTGATATCTCAGTATTATTTATTTAATATCTTACACTTTCGGTATTAACGAAAAATAGTACGATGAATACTTATATTAAAAATAACTTCCTACATTGAATACGTATATTTAGAATGGCTTCCTACATTCGGCTAGACTGCTACGAATTGGACTCGGATTCTGGCTGGTTCTCTATTCATGGCTTCATATATTCAGGGCCTTCATGACATCCTGATTTTTTCACATATGTGATTTGGCTTAACATTTACTACCGCATATAGTCCTAGATATTTCTTCATCAGCTTAAGTTCACCACCAAACTGTGTTGTCTTAACTGCCACTAAGTCTTATATATATATTTCTATAGATTCTCGGCTTTTTTCTTCGTAAGTCATACCTGCGCTTGTTGTCCTTATAATTTTGATTAA